TCTAAAACAGTTTGATTTCATAAATGTAGACAGTAGAATAGTAGTTACCAGGGGCTGGGGAGGGGAAGCAGAAGCGGAGAATGACACAGGCTGGCCAATGGGTATAAAGTTCTAGTTAGACAGGAAAAATAAATTTTTATATTCTATTACACAGTAGGGTGAGTGTAGAAAATAATAATGTGTGCACTGCAAAATATCTAAAAGAGAAGATTTTGAATGTTATCATTTATCAAAGAAATGATAAATGTTTAAAGTAATGACTTTGGTCGTTACCCTCATTTGATCGTTATACAATGCGTACATACACTGAAACATCACACTGCACAATTATCATGTGTCAATTATAAATTTAAAAAGTTAAAAATGACAAAGAAGGTAACTTTATAAAGCTAAAACTATAATTCAATTCACCATGAAAATATAATACTTATTACTATTTATGAATCCAATGAAGGAGCAGAAACTTTCATAGATCAAAAAGCATAGGCATGGAAAAAGTAAAGATAATAAAACTAAAGAATGATAGACACCACCCTTCTCTCACTCAAAGACAGAAAAAGTGGGCAAAATATTGGTAAGAGTAGGTAAGACATAAGCAATACCATCAGAGAAGTAGGCCTCATAGATTTATATCATATTACCCCCACAACTATATGGAATATATCTTTTTGGAAACCCTAATTTACTACAACTTACTTTAATAGAGAATAGAAAAAGTTGTAAAAGGCCTTTGCACCCCTCAAGAGAGAGAAAGGAAAAAGTGGAAGACATAACTGGTTTACCAGAATTGTGACTATCAGATGATCCCATTGCTACTTGAGCGGTTCTAGAGAGTAGGAAAAAAAGAAAAACTTGCAAATTATATTTATGAGATAAATATGATGTGATGTTAACAGAAAAACATGACGAGATCACACTAAGAGGACATTACTGATCAATCTTTCACATGGATATTAAGGTAGACATCTAAAATATTAGCCAAGTGTATCCAACACTATATTAAAAATTAAAATATAAAGACTATAAGTGGTTTGTTCAAGGAATGCAAAAGTGGATCAATATTAAGAAAGCCACTAATTAATCAATCATTGTAATAGATCTAAGCAGAAAAAGTATTACAAATATCTTTTCAGATCTTATAAGACACTTGAAAACATTCAAAATCCTTTCATGTTAAAAGCTTTCAATAAAATAGTTACTTCTTAACACACACATACACACACACCATTATTGCATATTCTGTGAAACAATCAAGATATTTCTGATAAAGTAACAACAAAGAAAGAATTCTTACCATCTCCACTATAATTGAACATTAAATTAGAATAGCTGACAAAACAAAGTAATTAAATTCATTTTGGAAAATCAATTCAAATGACTGAAGATTTCTCATCAGAAAACATGAAAACCAAAAGAAAGTAGAATGTTTTTAAAGTGCTTAAAGAAAAAACTGTTAACCCATTATTCTATATTCAGTAAAAATATCCATCAGAAATTAAGCTGAAAGAAATTCATTCTCCCATGAGAAAACTAAGAGAATTTATTATCAGCATATCTACTCTAGAAGAATTGCTCAATGAAATTCTTTAGTTTGAGAGAAAAGTTAGCAGAAGTAAACTTGGAAAATCAGAAATAAAGATAAGCAACAGAAATAATAAATATCTGAGTAAATATATTAATCACTCTTATTAAGTTCTTTAAAATATGTTTGACAGTTGAAAGCAAAAATTATAACACTGATGAGAATTTCAATGTATGTATATATATGACACAACTGAAACTTGTGAGATGACTAAAGCAGAAAAAGGGGGTAGTTAACCAGAACTATACAATAGATAAATCTACATTCCACATGAAGTGGTAAATAGTTGATTTTAAGTAGACTGTCAGAAGTTAAGTAGGTATATTGTAATCCCTAGAACAACCACTAAAAAATGTACAAAGATTTATAATAAAAAATAACAGAAAAATTTTAAAAACACAGTAAAAAGTATTCAAATAATCTACAGGAAGGCATGAAGGGGAACCAAACAAACAAAGAAAAAACAAAAAACAATAAAATAGCCTAAAACCAAATATATGAATAATTACATTACATGGAAATGCCCAAAGGCAGATATTAGCCAAATATGCATGTGTATTTAGATTCAATTCATATATATATGTGTGTGTGTGTATATATATATATATATAAAACATATTATTCAACTTGCTAGCAAGTATATATTTAAATATTTATATTAACAACAAAAATATGACCAAGTATATTTTATCCTGGAAATGCAAAAAGAAAGACTACATTATCACATCAATCATTGCAGTAAAATTATCTAAGAAATTCAATATCCACTTATGTTTTTTAAAAAAAATCTAAGCAAATTAGAATTAGAATAAAATGTCCTTGATCTTATAAAAGGGTGTTTTTAAAAACTGTAGCAAATATCATACTTAATTATGAAATATTTGGAATAGTACAAGGATGTACACTTTTGCCACTATTATTCAATATCATATAGGAAGTCCTAGTAGGAATAGTAAGTCAAGAAAAACAAAAAGGATACAGAAAGAAAGAGAAGAGAAGAAATAAATTATTTATTTGCATGTCATATAAATATCTATAGAAAAATCTGAAACAATGTACAGAAAAAGTTCTAGAACTAATAAGTGAGTTAACCAAGTGTAGGATATAAGTTACCACACAAAAATCAATCATATTCTCACATACTAGCAGTGTGCAGTTGGAAACCAAAATTTAAAATATAATTACATTTACATTAATTTCCCCAAATTGAAATACTGATGTATAAATCAAACAAAACATGCACAAGATCTATGTAATGAAAAATACAAATCACTAAATAAAAATATTAAAGATATAAAGAGAAAAATTTATTTTATAAATTGGAAAATTCAACATAATAAAGATATTAAATATCCTCAGATATTTAATAATCTATAGATTTTATGAAATTTCAACCAAAATCTCATGAAATTTTTTATAGATATGGGAAAGCTGGTTTTAAATATAAAATAAAAGGAACTAGCATAGCTAAAACAATTTCGAAGAAATTGTTCCAAAGATTTACCATACAGTTACTATAATCAAAATAGCATAGTACTGGCGAAGGGATATAAACATAGACCAATAGAACATTTTAGAAAGTTCAGAAATGGACCCACACAAATATGGCAAATATATTTTTTCATAAATGTGAAAAAGCAATTCAGTGTGGAAAGAATAGTCTTTTCAACAAATGATGTTGAAACAACTGAACAGCCATATACAAAAAAACACTGACTTAAACTTTGCAAGTTATACAAAAATTAAGACAAACAAGATCACAGCTCTAAATATAAAAGGTGAAATATGAAAGTTTTAGAAGAAAAGCATGCAATGGAATGCTACTCAGCAATAAAAAAGAACAAACTATGGATGGATCTCAAAGCCAGCTTGAGTAAAACAAGCCTGTCTCAAAGGATTACAATTTACAATTCCATTTATATGACATTCTTAAAAAGACAAAACTATAGTGGTGGAAAATAGATCAGTGGTTATTAGTGGTTTGGGGTGGTAAAAGCATTTTACTATAAAAAGATATATGAGGGAGTTTGGGGAGATAATAGAACTATTCCCTATCTTGATACTGGTGGTGGTAATTGCACAAATCTATACATGCATTAACATTCATAGAATCAAAAAGAAATCTATTTTTCTGCACAACAACTTAAAACACATAGTTGCAAGACAAATGAAAATAAGAGCATGGAAGAAGTGAAAGAGAGAAAAACATCTTAATGATTACACAATGATTATTCTGCTTGCCATAGCGATTATGTATTTATAATCTCTACTTCTTTGATAGTGAAATGAAAAGACCATGTGTTCTGTTTCCTATGAATCCAGAATATAACTTTTTGTTCACAGCGGATGTCCCAACACATGATGCCCGACTGATGGCTATTAATTCACATATTGTACACCACTTAAACATTCCAGGACAGGAGAGAAATTTCTGTTTGGGGAGTTTTGCCAGCTTTCTATGGCTTTTGAATTATGAGGTACAAACCACCCACATCTTTTTCTATAAATCTGATAATAAATTTCTCTCCCATCTGAGTTGTACATGGCAACAAGAACACAGATGCAATACATTCTGAAATGGGGGGTGGAGGTGGGGATAGATTGGAGAATTACTCATTTCTCATTTTCCTTCTTTATATGGGTAGAAACACTAACTGTTGTCCTGGCTAAATTCCAGTTCAGATAATTACTTTCCCCAAAAAATGTTCACTGTAGCTTTAATTAAACATTTTTTTTTTTTTACTTCTTGTCTTAAATCATATGCCTATGCCTATTTTCAATTACTGCAAAAACCCATCTACTCAGGTGAAATTCAAGGGGCTGCACATGTAGCCATTTTCATGGAAAAAGCAGTACACTTTTTTAAAAAGTATTTTATTATCTTTCTCGGTGAGAAAGAGCTGAGTAAGGTTACAGTAAGAAGCTCTCCCTCTTCAATGGAAAGACAAATGATTGAACACATTATATATGAATATTTTATATCCTTGAATCTTCCTGGTACAGAAAAAGCAGCAAGGCAGTAGACTTGTTAACATTTGATATTTTATGCAATACCTGAGAAAATATTAGATCCCCATTTTTCATTTCCAGTGTCTGAGATGTCCACACTAGTAGAAACACTGGCCAGCACCCATTCATAAGTTTTCAGGAATGGTTTTTAAGAAACTTCTGGGCATGAGTATGTAATGCTGAAATCTAAATGTCAAGCCTAAGTGATTACAAGTGCTTTAATAAAATATAAGGCACTATTATAACAACTAGATATGATAGGCCTTTTATGAAGATGGATTAGGCCAGCCAAACTTGCCTGATTAGAATTATTGGAGGCACTTTCTTAAAATACAGATTTCTAGGCCACTCAGAAAGTAGAGGAAAAGAGAAATTGTTACATAAGAAAATTTGGCTTTATAAACCCTACCTTGTCCTTCCCAGTCCAAATTCTTCACATCATCTCCCCATCTGCCAGCTGCCTTCTGGGCTCTTCATATCAAGACTGGCTGCACACAGAAATCACCCAATAAGACTTAAAAATACTGATGCCTATTCCACCACAAAAGATACTGATTCGATAGCTTTGAGAATAGGTGTAGCCAGTGGCATTTTCAAAGCTCTTCCGCTGATTCTAATGTATACTCAATATTGAGAACCACTGAATAAGGCTGGTTCGTGAGAAACTTAAGAATAAAGATGATGATCATTCTAAACTGGTTTTCTGGCTATACTAGAGAAGCACATTTGGCTTTGAAGAGATGCATTAACTAAGCAGAAAGCACACACAAGCTCTAGAATGACACAGATCTCAGTTTGAGTCCCAGGTCCGCCAGTTAAAATGTGATCTGTCACTACTTAAAAGACAATTGGGGCTGGGCGTGGTGGCTCATGCCTGTAATCCTAGCACTTTGGGAAGCCGAGGCAGGTGGATTGTTTGAGCTCAGGAATTCAAGACCAGCCTGAGCAAGAATGAGATCCTGTCTCTACTAAAAATAGAAAGAAATTAGCTGGACAACTAAAAATATATAGAAAAATTTAGCTGGGCATGGTGGCACATGCTCTGTAGTCCAAGTTACTTGGGAGGCTAAGGCAGAAGGATCACTTGAGCCAGGAGTTTGAGGTTGCTGTGAGCCAGGCTAATGCCATGGCATTCTAGCCTGGGCAACAGAGTGAGACTCTGTCTCAAAAAAAAAAAAAAAAAAAAAAATCTGCCTGACCTTCAATTTTCCAGTTATGTAATGAGAAAAATAATGCCTATGAATCAACTAGGTAAACTAACTTGCCTGCTAGATTCAATTTTTTCTTCTGGCTTAGCCATCCCTTTGACTAGTCCCAAGAAGTGATTGTCTTTTAAATGAGGTGACCCTCTCTCTGCCCAAAAAAAGTCCTGTTTATACTTGTTTTCTTAGAATAATTGTTAATCATGACAGATTTTATTCTCAAAAGTGCCCCAATTCTAATTATAAACTATGTTGTCATCTTACCCATATATCACATTATTCATTCATCACTTAAAATTGACTGGACAGAGGTAGACAGCTGACCCATATATTAAAATGAGCCAATTCGATTATTTACATAACTTTATCTAAAATATAGAATATATAATTTGTATAAGTTATCTATGCTATATAACAAATTACCCTAAAACGTAGTGCCTTAACACAATAACATTTATTATTTCACAGTTTCTGTGAGTCAGGAATCTAGGCATGATCCCTCTCCTTCAGAGTCTACCACTACTATCAAGTTGTTCAGCAGTGGCTATAGTCACCTTAACACTCAACTGGGGAAGCATCAACACTCAAAGTAACTCGTATGGTTGTTGGCAAGGTTCAGTTTCTCATTGGCTATTGGTGGAAGGGTTGCCTTGGTTTCTTGCTACATGGGGCTACTCCCATGGTCAGATGACAACATGACAGCCTGTTCTCATCAAAGTGAACAAGTGAAAAGAGTCAGAGAGAAGGAGTACAAATAAGGTAAAAACCATAGACTTTCAAACCTGATCTTGGATTTGATATCCCATCACTTTTGCCATATTCTATATGTTTGGAATAAATAACTAGAATCAGTCCACACTCAAGTGGTAGGGAATACACAAGGGCATGAATATCAGGAGCACTGAGCAGGAACCATTCAGAACTATTTTAAGAGTTGTATGCCTACCACACTAAGAGACTATAATCAAATAGTGGAGTCAAAAACTCCACACTATTTTTCATAGTTTGTATTAGTTTGCAAATTCACCAACAGCTTGTATAAGTGTTCCTTTTTCTTTGCATCCATGCGAGCATCTATTGTTTTGGGACTTTTGATAAAAGCCAGAAGGGGGTGAGGTGACATCTCATTGTGGTTTTGATTTGCACTGCCTTGATGATTAGTGATGTTGAACATTTTTTCACGTTATTGGCCATTTGTCTATTTTCTCTTGAAAAGCTTCTGTGCATGTCTTTTGCCCACTTTTTAATGGAGTTGTTTGATTTTTTCTTGCTGATTTGCTTGAGTTCTTTGTAAATTTTAGTTATTATCCCTTTATTGGATGTATGGCATGTGATATATTTTGTATCCCATTTTGTAGGTTGTCTATTTGTTCTGTTGATTGTTTCCTTGACTGTGCAGAAGTGTTTTAATTTAATCAATCATTTTATTTTTGTTATTGTTGTGTTGCCATTGAGGTCTTCTTCATAAATTCTTTGCCTAGGTCAATATCTAGAAGATTTTTTCCAAAATTTTCTTCTAGAATTCTTATAGCTTCATGTGTTAGGTTTAAGTCTGTCATCCATGTTGAATTAATTTTAGTGAGTAGTGAGAAATATGGATCCTGTTTCAATCTTCTACATGTGGCTATCCAATTTTCCCAGCACCATTTATTGAATAGGGATTCTTTTCCCCAGTTTATGTTGTTGTTTGTTTTATCAAAGATCAGATGGCAATATGTAGATGGTTTTATATCTGCGTCCTCTATTCTGTTCCACTGGTCTTTGTCTCTATTTTTGTGCCTATATTATGCTGTTTGGGTTACTATAGCCTTGTAGTATAGCTTAAAGTCTGGTAGAGTGATGCCTGCAAATTGCTTAATTCCTTTTGCTTAAAGTTATGTTGGCTATTCAGGCTCCTTCTGGTTCCAAATGAAGTCCCAGGCAGACAGCAGAGACATGGCTTCCTGCCTCTTCAAGGAAAAACAACACCAGATGTTTTCCACTGTCAATCTATGACCAAGGAATAAAAAAACAAAAAACAAACAAACAAAATTCCTTTTATCAACCTACCGACTATGTGAGAGACAAAAAAAGACAAACTCAAAAGTTTCTCAGCTGCCTTTTGCTAATTGGACTATAATCATAAATCTCTCCCTAGTGCCCCTCAGCCTACCCTAAAAACTATTTAAAATCATTTGGTTTCAGGGCCAGCACCTCTCTTATCTCTTCTTTTCTTTGGAGAGGCAATGAAATAAAGTTTGTGCTTTTTTTCTATGCCCCTACAAAAAAATGATTAGTACAATTATACAAACTTATATGAAAAACACATATAAAATACCCATGTATTGTTATATTTTGCTTAAATTTAAAGTAGAATTAGATATTTAGAAATAAAGAAATCAAAGTATTTAGTTCCATATAAAATATGTAGTTAAAACAGGAGTTTTGAACAAGGCAAATATGAGATATGTTTTGACAGTTAAAGCTTTAGCTAAAATTACAATTAATTTCAACCTATTTACAAGGGCTCTTTACGCAAGGCCCTATTTACAATAATGACTTAATATGCAATTGAGTCATTATCAATTATATTATGTATATATCATTAAAACTACAAAAGAGATAAAATGTTTCAATTTGGAGGAAATAAAGATAACACAATGATGTATTATTTAAATTGCAAAACACATGATTTTTTTCTGGATAAAAAAGGTTCAATAAAGTTAGAGGTAGATATGACAATGTGGCAAACCAATGTTATGGATAAATCAAAGTTGTAGGGCAGAAACAAATAGAAAGCAGAGGAAGATGGTCTTTGAAAAAAATAAAGGAACAGATGGAAATACATAAAGAAGATAGCGTCTGTATACCATCGTCAAAGAATAATTCAAAGACACTTAAAAATGTCATATGTAGAGTATCTACTATTTAGGAGTCAGGTGGTAGACTACTGTATTGTCAGGATTCCCCAAGAAACACACCCAATAGGACATATATAGATATATAAGAGGAGATTTATTATAGAATTGGTTCATGCAATTATGAAGACCAAGAAGTCCCACAATCTGCCTTCTCCAAACTAGAGAACCAGGAAAGCCAGTGACATAAATAGTTCCACTTCAAAAGCCTGAGAACTATTAATAAAAGCTCCAGTGCTCCAAGCCAGGAAAAGATGTATGTCCCAGCTCAAGAAGAGAGAGCAAAATTGCATTGCCTTTCCTCCATCATTCTGTTCTATTTGGGCCCTCAATGAATTGGATGATCCCCACCCACGCTGGTCAAGGTAGGTATTCTTTGCTCAATCTACTGTTCCTAATACTAATCTTTTCTAGAGAAACCCTCATAGACAGACTCAGAAATAATATTTTACCATCTATCTAGGCATTCCATAGATCAGTAAAGTTAACACTGATTAGCTTCCAGCTAGCAAAGAGGTTAATCAAGCATATGTCCTTGATCAAGCTGACTGGGTATGCCAAGGAAAATATTTTCAATTCTCTAGAAAATCTTGAGAGTTTATCTATAAAACAAATGTGATAGCTCTTGGTGTATAAATTCTGCCAGGCCCATTAGGCCTCCTCTTTAGACTAGTTTCATTCTTTCTTCCTTGTCCAAACTCCTCACCTTATAGCTCCAAACCCAGATGACTTACCACTTTTCAAAAGTTCTCACTGTATTTTAGAGTCTATTCCAAGAAATCCCTTTGGTTTTATTGTGCTTAAGCTAATTCAGATGGATTTTTGTTCCTCCAGAGTCTTCACTAAAACAATTTAACTGAGTTATTGCAAAGATTAAATGAACTAGGGTAGATATATTATATGAAACTTAATTGAGACTCATAGTATAGATTGTTTTTAAGTCATATACAATTATTGAAGGGACTAAACAAGTTAAGATGTGTGCAAAAGCTAGAGAAGAGGTGGCTAAAAGTCTCAAAATCATGTCTCATAAAGGATAGTTGAAATGGCCAGAGAGTTTAGCCAGGACAAGAGAATCCTCAGAAGGCAAATGGTACTTTTTTTTCCCCCTAAATGTTGATATCCAATCTTGTAGATGATGATTCCATAGGTAGACATAAAATCATAAACCTATGAGAAAGTTATAAGAGGATGGAAGGAAGTGATGTAAGGGGTAAAGCCTTATTTAGCATTGAAATAATTCAAGCATAAGCAGTTTATTGGCAATGCTATATATTTAAACCAGATAATGTATGAAGTCTTTCCAATCATAACTTATATAAATTTGTGAAATAAAATGAGAAATTTTATCTCTCTGTGCTTTAGTTTTGTCTTCTGTAAAATAGCTAG